CAAAGGGGTTAGCGGACTGCCTGCCCAGCTCTCGCCAGGACTACGGAGCGGTTACACGCGTTCTAAAACGTTTCGGAAATGCAAAAGTGCGCTCGGACAAGCCACAAGAACCAAAATAACAAAATAATAAGCAAAAGGAAAACGATGAATAGTGCCTGGAATAGGGGAAACCGAGAACCCACCAAACAGTAATACCTAGCAATTCAACATTTACAACCACACTTGGCATGTCAAAACTATACATATGGTATACACATATTCGGTTTGCCATTCAGAAGATGAACCCAATACACATTAGGGTTTCATGAGATGAGTTATTCAAAATAGACATATACATGGCTCAATTTGGCAACCAACACGTATGAGCTCCCAAAAGTGATTATTTTCCTGTAAGGAAAACAAAAGGGAACAGAAAGGGGTGAGCTTGCGCTCAATGAGGTACCAAACAGATAGCAATAAAATCATGGCATTTCATGTTTAACAAATCAGATACACATGCCAGATATAAAGCAACGGAACCACTGATTCAAATCAGAAGGATACGGGTGGCTCTCAGGAGCCAAATTTCCAGCTCAATACTTGATCCAGACCGGTTGACCCTCCGTCAACGTATATAGAATCAAAACGTCCGTAGACCCCTCTTTACTCCAAATTCCGTCCACCAAACACCCCTTTACCGGGCCCGCTCACCGTATCAGTAACAGAAATGGTAATACTCGAGTATACCGGAACCCAAGGGTCTCAATACCCAAAGATCCCCGAACAGACTACCGTGGTTCGTTATCTAATCGTCCAGGCCCTTGCCGGCCCGACTTGAATAACTTAGCCACTGGATTTGAGCTCATAGGTCACAGAAAGGTCGTTGGACACAAGCTTCCAAACGACGTCAGAACAGATACAGTTTCAGATACAGATAACAGATTCAGTACAGTTTCAGATACAGATACAGATAACAGATTCAGATAGACGTTCAGAATTGGAATATGAACAGACCAGAGAACGAGTGTGATAAAGTACACCCTCGCCTCCACTTTATCAAAGCAGTACTTGGCTTCAATAGTCATAAGTCAAGTATTCAGATATTCAGATATTCAGATATTTCACATAAAGGGTAGCAAGCAGTGGTACACTCACCGATTCAACTTCAAAAGTTTCACTTCAGATTGGCCTTAATCGCCAAGAAACCCTAAAATAATCAAAATAAACCAATTGAAGGTTTCATATCTAAAATCGAATAAACGGAATGCACAAGTGAGACATACTAATGCAAGGGTGCAAAAATATGATTTTCTTGAAAACAAAAAGTTAACATCAAGACCTAGGCGCAAACAACCCAAAAGCCCTTCATTTCCATCAAAAGGCAAATCCAACTTAAAGAACCAAACGGCCTAGAAAATCGGGCAGCACTTCCCCTAAATTTCTTACTTTTCCAGCCATTAAGGCTTTATTATTTCCTCAAATCAGTCCCAACACCTCACACAAAAGTCATCTCATTCCCAAAAGCCGTTCACTAGGCTCAAAGTAGTACAAGTACAAAAGTTAGCTAGAAAATGACCGGAATAAGAGTAAGCCTTAAAACCATGCCAACCAATAGGGTTTCATAAAGCCATGCCAATCACAACCCCAATAGGGTTTCATATACATATATAAGCATAATAGCAAACCAGAAATTAGAAAATGGCCTTAGTCTTGGCCCCAAATAGAAAACTGTTTTACACTCATTATGCGGTAATGGCGTCAAATTCTCTACGGTTATCGGATGGGGGTGTAAGACCCACCGTTTCGAAGCTATGAAACAGGGCTACAATAATGTAGAAGACCACTCAATCCAGTTCGTAACACAACTAGGTCAAATATGCCAAATACTAACCCAGAATTCCTAAAACAGGTTCACAAAACACAAAAAAACTGTAATCAGTATATCTCAGTCCATACAAGTCCAAATGCCAAAATTCCAAAGGCATATGTTAGCTAAGACACTCAGCTACATTTCATCAGAAGACACCAACTCCAGAATCCAAACCAATTCCAGTCAAAATGGCCAATTACTATCGCAGTTTTCGCATTCTGTCCAAAGCAGAACAGCTACAGTAATTTCATCATAACTCATGCTACATTAATCCAAATAACCTGAACTTTTACAGGCATCTCCATCACATCAATACCAACAACTTTCATGTTTTGAGCAAAGTCTAATTCGGCCTCTAACCCAGTGATCTAAAACCGGACAGAATTGGGGTTCAAGAACCCTAACTTTTCAAATTTCACACCAAATCCAAAATTGATTGCATTTAACCACATTTCACATCCACTAGAGCCATTTCCAACCATTACAATTCATCATACAAGCCCCCAACATTAAGATCATATTAAACCAGAAAAATTCCCAATAAAATAAAAACTTCACCAAATCAAGAAACAAATCATATATTCCTTCTCTCATGCCCCCATTAAGCACAAAATAAGCATTATTAGATGTAGTAGGGTGTTTCAAGCATCACTTACCAAGAAATCAAGAGAGAGAGGGATGTTGGCCACCTTAGACCTTCAAACAAACTTCACTAATCAACTTACTAACACCTAATGGAAGGATAATATGGAGTAGAATCTAGTATAGGCAATTTATTTTGGTGGATTGAACCATATGGAAGCTTGAGAGTTGATGAAATTCTTCCTTCTTGAGCTTGAGAGAGGGCCGGCCATAAGAGGTAAGAAAATGGCAATTTTTGTGCATTTTTTTGATATTTAATCCTTTGGTCAAAAAAGTCAAGAAAGTGAATAGTATTTCTTAAAGTCCAACCAATGAGAATGTGACACTTGTCACCTCATTAAATGCATTCCTATCTTTCTTTTCTCTCTCACATCAATCACTTCACACCCACTACTTATCTCTTAACACCCGATAAATTTTTCACAGTATCCGAAACTTAACCTTATTGGCCGAATTTTTCCGAACTTTTCGCACTAGTGGGTCCCACGTCCACTATTTATTCTTAATTTTCTAAAAACTCACCAATGCTATAAAAATCATCTAAAACTTATATTTACTCATAAAAATTATCTAGAAAATTTTCCGGATACAGAAAGTGCAGAAAACAAACCATTGAAAATAAGAAAACCTGAAAATATAATAAAACCTAGAAAATGGAAAGATTACGGGTTCTCACACATTCAACCCGTTTGACCAATTAGGATTTCAATGTCAATTTCAAATAGGGAAACCTAGTCGATTTTGAGAAAACCATCCAGACATTTGATCAGTTGGGGTTTGGACCCGTGCTTCACCGAGAAAATTTTGTCAACGAATTCCAATCTCTTCAATAGGAAATTTGTCAAATCCACGCGTTTTTGCAATTTCTGGTATCAATCAGAAGTGATTTATCCATTTGGACGAGGTCCTCATTTTGACAAATGTCTCTTATCATTCCAATGGGCCAAATTTTTCAAATTATTTTTCACTCCATAAGTTGATTGGATCCGTCAGGTATGGTATAGTGCCTACCCTAGAGGATTGCATTTTCATGCTAGGCCTACCCTTGGCACAAAAATGGTTCCCCCATAGGATATGCATCCGAATTTTTTGGATATTTACTAACTCTTGTCTTTTTCTTTTTCTTTTTCTTTTCTTTATTTTCTTTGGAATAACTAAGCGAGGGTTGAATCTAAAGGCAATTCCTTTCAAAATTCTCAGGTAATATTTAAACATAGCTTCTCGTCGAAGCCCCATCATAACACGATCCCGTAGTCAAGCCCAGAGGAGTCGTGTAAACATGAGTTCACAACCGGAACAAGCAGATAAGTCTACTACTACCGCTCAACCTGAGACTACAAGTTTAGGGGTTCAGTTAACCGAAATGCTTACTAAGTTTGGTGAAATGGCATCTGAGATGGCGGCCCAAAGAAAATTGATTGACGAGCTAATCAGCAGCGGAGTTCAACCTGAACCTATACCCGTCAAGCAGGCTGGGCCGAAGCCATTTGTCATCCCTTTAACTCAAGTCACTGTTACTCCATCATTCCCTATTCCACCCGAGGAAACTTTCGCCTATCCCACCACAAATTTGCCATACGCTTACCCTCCTAATCCTTCATCTTTTCTTACTCGCAGGCAAGGCCCACAACCCCAAGCTACTTCAAATATACCACCTGAGCCACATACCTTTTATTACCCTGCTGCTGAACCCTTCCTACCAGACCACACTGTTCAAACCAAGCCAGAAATGGGGGAATCTTTCGCTCCCATTGGTATGAAGATGCTCAAGCGCCTTGACCGCTTTAATGAGTTTATGGGGAAAAGTCAGGGGTTGAACAAGCAAGGAGTTTTGGATTACGATGAGCTTTGCCTTTTTCCGAATGTGCGGTTGCCTGAGAGGTTCAAAACCCCTAAATTTAACAAGTATGACAGGACGGGTAATGTCCCTGCCCTCAAATCGCAGTTGGATGCTTTGCAAGGACAAGGGAGCAGTGGGAAAAAGCAACAATTCCAAAAGGAAGAGGGGGAAATCGTTTTTGTTTGTGATCGAAACCGTGTCCCAAGCTCCAGGCCTAGACAACACCCTACCTACTCAAACTCCTACCCTTATTAATCAAACCCTCATCCTGTTCATCACACTAATACCACTCAACCTCTACCTCGCCCTAAATACACCAACTCGTCTATAGCCCCTTTTCAAATATCTCAGCCTAACTTCCAACAAGTTCGACCCCGACCTCCCTACAATCAACAATTTTCTCCACCAAATAGACATACCTACAACTATCCCCAACACACTAAAACCTACAATCAAAGCCGTACCCGAACATTCACCAACCTAGGCAGGCCTCTGGACCAATTGTATGAACAATTAAAGGCTGCCGGTAGAATTGGCATAATTCCCCCTCCAACTTACTCTCATGGCGTCCCTGCCGGATACAATCCTCAGTACACTTGCGCCTATCATTCGGGAGCATCCGGCCACCCAACCACTGATTGTAGAGCACTTAAGCATAAAGTGCAAGACATGATCGAGACAGGGGAAATAGTGATTAGAGAAGGGCCAGAACAAGGACCAAATGTGGATAAGAACCCCCTGCCAGAGTACGATAACACCCTTGGGGTTATTATGGACAATACGGAATTCAAGGAGCCTGCTAAAAACTCATCAAGTGAGGCTGAAGTGTTTGGAAATGACGCAGAATTTCCCGATATCCCTAAGGGATCAATTTCCAATTGGACAGCCGAATTTCTACCCATTCAAAAGGAGTTTCGGTAAACCTAAAGGGGGTTTGTCATTCATGCGAATTCATGAGGAAAAAAACTTTTGCATCTGTAATTAGCTAATGAAAACATCTTTACTTTTGACCAAAATTTGCGCATGTAGATATTTTTAAGTTTTCATTTCATTTCCGTTTGCTTTCAATCAAAGGTTTTATGAAAATGAACAAGTCATTCTTGTCATGTTATTTTGGTTTATTCGTTTGTTTATATTTCGGTCATATTGCTTGATTCATTTGCTTGTTGTATACTTGTTTGCTTATTATCCCAAATTCGTTAATTCTTTCAAATGGCCAAAGATGAAATTATTTGACCCTTTGGATATCACTTTTCTGGAATTCAATAATGGCAATCTCTATCTCACTCACGACTTCAAAATTTTGAAACCCAAATTTCAAAGCGAAGTGATAAAGAGAAAGTATTTGATTCTTTTTCAAAAATCTTGAACAAAATGAGGAAAATTCGAACCAAACCTAGAAGCCATAGCAATTGTTCACATTGGCACTGAGAATGAGGTCAAAAGGACATAAATCAGCATTCGTTTGGACAAAAGCAGAAAAGGAGATGATTAAGAGTTTGACTATGTGTCAAGGTGTACAGATGGTTGGAGGCAGTCTCATTTGCAGTAGCAGAAATTCAATCTTTGCACACTCTAATGGGAGTTCAGCCGAGAATGCCGTTTGTCATGAAATGTTACAAACATGCCTGGCCTGAGCTTACGACAAGAAGTTTCATCAGCATACATTTTGAGGAAGGCGACAAAGCATTCAAGTGAACTTTGCCAATACAAGACGAAGGCAGAAATAAATTCGCTCAAAATCAGAAAGGGCCGTTCATCGTCCAAAAGGTATTACCTGGCGGAACACTCATTTTGGCGGAAATGGATGGTCAAACATTCCCTCAACCCATCAAATCAGATATGTGCAAGAAGATTTTCATTTGATCATGCAAATTTTCCTTAGAAATTCATACAAATGACGAAATGCAAGTCAGGCCCTCTTCTTTTACATTTAAAGCATTTTATCCCTACTTGTCCCCTTTGAGCCATCAGAATTGACAAATTTTCGTTTGGCAGCCCCTGAGAATTGCAAACCCCACACTGGGGCAAATTCATTTTGAAAAGAGATGATCGGAAAGAAAAGGCAAACCCCACACTGGGGCAAATTCATTTTGAAAAAATGATCGGAAAGAAAAGGAAAACCTCACACTGGGGCAAATTTATCTTTGAAAGAAAGATGGAAAAAGAAAGAACCCCACACTGGGGCAAATTTAGTTTTGAAGGAAAATACAAAAGTAAGAAGAATGCAATGAAGAAAATGCAAAGAAATAAGAATTCAATCAAACTGGGGCAAATCTTCCTCGGTTTCGTTCAAAAATTGGAGATAGTCTCAAGATGATGCAATCTCAGGTTATTTCACACCTTTCAGAAATTTTGCTTTCAAGCCTCAACTTTCTTTGAAAAAGCACCCACCTGACTTCATTACAAAAGCCCAAAGTCCTGGCTTTCGTCACTTGTCGTATTTCTATTGGAAAGTTCGCTAATCAATTGGCAAGTGATGTCCATAATGCCCTCGCGTAATCTTGCAAAGGAAGTGCATTTTGCTGATGCCAGCAATCTTCAACTTACATTTCTGAGTCGATTATGGTCGAGCTCTTCCATTGCTTACTTGGGTGAAAGCCCGAAAGGGCACCTCAAAAAAAAAAAAACAAAAACAAAAAAAACAAACAAAACAAAAACAAAAAGGGTGGGGGCAACCTTGGTGAAAACCAGAAAGGGCGCCAAGGCAGGTTTTTGCAACGAGCAAGCACGAGGAGGAACAGCTGGTGACTTGGTTCATTTGGATTTCTTCTCATTTTTGTCATACTTCTGCCAATATTAAATTCCAGAACAAAGATATCCAGAGATTTGAATATGACATCTGTTGGCCAAAACTGTGTTGCTTTGTAAAAATATTCTTTTCCAAATACATCTTTTCTCATGTGCTTGTATTCATGGCATTTTGTAGGATTAAGCATAGTTGGATGTGTTTTACATTCTTTGACATATTCATTCCATGCATAACATAGGAAATCATCTTGCATATATTTTGATTTTTTTCGTGCATCATTCTTTTACCATTGGATTCGGATGAATGATAAACCCTAAGGTTTGTGCAAGAATATGGGATTCAATCATCTCTTAAAGTGAGTAAAATGCAACCAAGCTGCTACATGGATTTGGTGACAGGATAAATGCGCACTTTATTGGTCTCCAGAATCGAAAGGTTTCAAAATTACAAATTCAACCAAGGCAGATGCCGCAGCAAAATGTTGGCAAAGGCATCAAAAGACTCATGTTTACACGATTCTCAAGGTAAACCGGATCGAATGATGGTGGCAAGTCCATTATTTCTTCTTTTCTTGCAGGAACATTGCATTTACAAACACAAACAACCACGCTTCTTTTCGCACCTGAATCGACGTCAGAAAAAGCTCTCCAGTAAGCAAAGACGAAATGATAATTTGGCAAAGGTTGGGTCATAAGGAACAACATCAGCTATCGTTCTAGCCATAAAGATCCAAATCTCCCTCTTGGTACAAAAGTTCGAACTACTCTCAGGTAAGAACTCAATTCATTGTTTAAAAAATCCGTGGGTCTATCCCAATTTTAAATTTCTGTCCGGGTCTATCCCGTGGGTCTATCCCAATTTTAAATTTCTGTCCGAGTCTATCCCGTGGGTCTATTCCAATTTTACATTTCTGTTCGGGTCTATCCCGTGGGTCTATCCCGTGGGTCTATCCCAATTTTAAATTTCTGTTCGGGTCTATCCCATTTAAATTTCTGTCTGGGTCTATCCCATTTTACATTTTCTGTTCGGGTCTATCCCGTGGGTCTATCCCATTTTAATTTTCGTCTGGGTCTATCCCATTTACATTTCGTTTCGGGTCTATCCCATTTAAATTTCTGTTCGGGTCAATCCCGTTTAATTTCCTGTCCGGGATCAGTCCCCATCGTTCGAGTTGTTCACAGCCAAATAACACAGGTAAGTATTCGGTGTCTACTTCTTTGTCTCAAGTTTTTCCAAAACTCAGACAAAGAGGGGCAAACTGTAGACACCAAATTTTGAATTGATATGCTTCGTTTTAGTGATAAGTCTTGTCTATTGATTTTTGTTTATCTCATGATTTTTGTTTTAAATGGTTTGCATTTTTGTTTTGCCCCTTTAGATGTTATTTTATTTTATTTTTATTTTTAGTTTTATTTACTTTTTAGTTTTTTAGTTTTTGTTTTTTAAGTTTTAGCGTAGAAAATCATGAAAAAATGAAAAAAATGAAAAAAAGGAAAACTCATGAAAAAATGAAAAAAAGAAAAATCATAAAGAAAAAGTAAAAAAAAAAAGAAGAAAAGTGTTCACAAAATATGTTTATTTCTTTTAAATTCAACCTTTTGGCATTTTATTTATTTTTATTAAGTTATTTTGAAAAAAGAAAAGAAAAAAGAGAAAAATGAAAGAAAAGATTGAAAATGGTAACTTTATTATTTTTAGTTTATTTATTTTGATGTAATTGTAATTAAAATTGTTGTTTTTTATTATTATTTAGTTTTACTATTATTTTTGTTAAATTATTAAGTTGAAAAAAAAAGGAAAAAAAAAGAAACAGAAAACGCGGCATGCAAGCTGCGTTTTGTTGCAGCTTGCAAGGAAAGTTTGAGACGGCTCCTTAGCTGCTGCAAATATAGGGGAAGTTGCTGGAGTTTTAGGGTTGGAGGTCCGTATAAATAGAAAAAGAAGTAACAGCCGGCAAGGGAGAGAGTAAGAGGATAGAGTGACTGACGGCAGAGAGAAAAAAGTGACGGCTAAGATTGAAAAACTGAGAGTTTGAGAGGTAGAGACGACTGGGCTGAAAAAGGAAAAGAGAGGAACTGGAGTTGCGGCTGCATCCGGAGGAGGAAGACCGACGTGAGGAAGAGACTAGGAGGCTTGTTTTTCCAGAAGTTCCATAGAAGTTTGATGCCGGCTCATTTCTTTTGACTTCAGCCTTGTCAAAAATCTTTATCAGGTAATCCATTGAACTAAAGGTTGCACCTTTGGTCCTCCTCTGTGTGCGTAGGTTTGGCCTGGGAATTTTTGTGATTCCAAACTTCAAGATTCAATTTTGATTGTTGCCTTGGGTTAGAAATTTGGTATTTGTTTGGATTTTGGCATGAAACCCAGTGGTTGCAATTTAGGAAACCAGTTTTCTGCTAGAATGATGCATGAGTTGTCGAACCTTTTGCTGCTGGTTTATTAAGTTTGTTCCATAACATTACCATGTTTGCTCTTTGCTGTCTTTCTTGCCTTTGTCGTCTTCTCCTCCTGTTCTATATATCTTAGACATGAGTTTTGAAATAAGAAAAGCTGCGCTTCATTGCTCCTGTCTTGTTCATTGGCTTTGTTTGCGTCTATAAGAAAGTTCATGTTTGGGGGCATTCGATGGTAATGGGGGGCGATTTCCTTGCATTTGGTCTGTAAATGACATATTGGTAGAGCTTGTTTGAGTGTTTGCACGCAAATAAAAATTGCTGCATTTTTTTTTCTTGTTGTTTCTTTCCGTGGCTGTTCTCTGAGCTTGCATGCTTAATTCTGTGTGGAAGGGAAGAAGTGGAAAGTCTAGTGTTGAGTTCATGTCTTTGGGTCAAAAAGTATTTGAATCATGCCCAAGCACTTGCTGGAAAATGCATTTCAACTTGCCAAATCAGTTTTATATGTTCCAGATTTTTCAACTTGCTGAACGTATTTTATTTTTGTTTGCACTGGATTCTTTGGCTTGCTGCCTAGTTTAAAGCCTTGTGTTTGGACTTGATTATGCTTGAGAGCTGGTTTGGCAAGGTGCCGAATTGCAGAAAGTCTTCATCTGAAAATTACAGAAGCTAAGAATGCTTCGGTTTGACGAAAGTTTTCTAGTTTGCTGAAACTTTTGCTGCATTTTTTCCTCTTACTGATCTTTCCATGGCTGCGTTCTGAGTTTGTACT